GGTCCGGGAAGATCCCACATGCCGTGGAGCGGCTGGGCCCGTGAGCCATGGCCGCTGTGCCTGTGCATCCGGAGCCTGTGCTCCGCAACGGGAGAGGCCACAGCAGTGAGAGAGGCCCACGTACCGCAAAAAAAAAAAACCCAAAAAACATGAAAATTAATTAGCAAAATAAACTGAACTTAGAAACAGATCTCTGGATCACTGGTATCACAACTATGAATAAATATTCTGTAATTATCTGTGTGAAAAAGCTTTTTGAACTATTAAAGTGGAATTAAAAATATTTAAAACCTTTAAATCCACCTTTTAAAAACGTCTGTTTGAAAAAAGAAGCAGACTCACAGATACAAAGAACAAACTAGTGGTGACCAGTGGGCAGAGGAAACGGTGGAGGGGCAAGATAGGGGTAGGGGTTAAAAAAAAAAAGGGTTATTATGGGATTATACAAAAACATGAATGCAAAACTTCTGAGAACTGTAAAGCATGATAGAATTGAAAGAATCTTTCATTCAATAAAAAAATTAAAAATTAAAAAAATAAATAAAATGGTCTATGATTTATAAGATTCACCTAATCGTTAGCACAGCGATATAAATATGGGTTATAAATAAATACATGAGTAGTCGGGAAGTGTGCTCAACTTATAATTTTATTTGGGGGTGTGGGATCTGTCTATTTTAAACTGTTTCATTTGCTTAACACTTTTAAGAAAGACTTACCGTGAGGAAAACATTTCCTGGCTAAATCAAAGCTTTAAAGCCTATGGGACGCTTCTTCAAGACCAGCCGTGGTCGCACCTACATCCTCCGCCCCCCAACCCCGAGCTCAGGGCCGGTAAAGAGGCCTTTGTGAGGAGGGGCTTGAAGCGTGAGCTCACACACAGGTGAGCAGACCCTGTGACGACTGACACGGGGCACCAAGTGGATTTTTGTGCACAGGTGTGGGCACAGGCAAACTATCAGGGAGCAGCCCTTCCAAGGGGAGCAGTTGTCCCATCCCAGCCGACCTGGAGGAGGGAACTACAAGGCCTGACGCAGGGTCCCTCCCACAGTGTCCTTTCCAGTGCGCTTGCAACGAAAAAGAGGGGAACTGGGGTAAGCATCTTCTAAAGACACAGCCTGAATCCAAATGTATGGACTCTGAATTCCCAAATTTTAATCTGTTAGATTTCACAGGCCAAAAACAACCAGTTCATGAGAATGACCTCTGATCTTTATGATATTTACCAGTTGAACTGGGAGGGTTTTATGTGCTGAGGAGACAAACTCACCCACACAGTCCTCACGTGACGGTGACAGCTCGTGTCCCAGTGGGCAGTCACACTGAAAGCTGCCCTCAGTGTTCACACAGGTGCCACCCCTACAAAGGAGAGGGTTACGTTCACATTCGTCAATGTCTGAAAGGTAAAAACGTGAGAGCCATTAAAGAACTCTGAGGAAAAAACGTTCACGCACACAGCATGGGAGAAAGATTCATTATCTGAGGTCATCGTGACTCAAACGTGAGACATGGGTTAATAAGAGACGGGATAACGCTCTCCTCACTTTATAATCAGTAGATAAAAGGTTAAAGTTCTACTCTGAAAAGACAGTGAGCTATCAAGGCTTTTACTTGTATGAAATGAGCAGGCTCATGAGAGGTAAAAATAAACAATATTCGCTTTATATCACTCTAAACTCCAGACACCATATGTCTCTATCTCTAATCAAAGTGAAAGAAAACTCTTAGACTGATCACTTTCTGTATCCCATGAGCTGAGTCCTACAAGTTGCTAAACCTCAAACGATGGGCTAAAAGGTGGGCAATGCCAAGAGTGTTTGTAATAACACCCAAGTAAGGAAAAGGACATGGGATTCGCATGACAATATAAATTTGGGGGTCACCACCCACTACCACACATTTTCAGTGACTCCCTCCTCAGCAGTTAGTCTGTGGTGACTTCAGGTTCTATAAATAAGCAGAACCCAGTCTCAATATCTCACTGCCATTAAGGCACCAAGGGGCTGGGGCTCCCCAAGAGCTATCGAGGAGCGGATTTCCTGTCTGACACTTAGATCTGTTCTCTCTCTCACCACAGCTCCTTGCCAAGCACGCTGTTCACAGCTCTGAGACAGACCAAGGTCGCACTAAGGAGTCTGCTAGACCGGTTTGCAGACCCGAGCGGCTTACCCATGCAGTTCTTCATCATCATGAACCCGCTCTCGTAGCCTTCGAAGCACTCACACTCAAAGCTGCCCGGCGTGTTGACACAGATCCCACTCCCACAGAGGTCAGGAGAAATCCTGCACTCGTCAATGTCTAGTTCACAGGGTTTAAAAGAAATTCAGAAAACCAGAGTGAGATGAGAAGGTGTTAACAGAGAGATTTGGCCTTCCAAGCAAAGGTGCTGGAGGAACCAGGGGCGAACCGTAGAAGGATGCGTTTTCAGGAGGTCACCTCGAGGGGGACAGGGCTGCAGGCACATTCCTTTCCCCAACTGCCAAAACCGTCACAGCCAATGGGCAGGTGGACCCTTTTTGTCCTTAAGAGTTCTGGAATTGTGGATTTCTCTTTGTGGCTTAGCAATGATAACAGAAGGATGAACCAAGCAACTGTGATATGACCCAACCAAGGCAGGTGGCAAACGAGGAAGCAGTGGCCATATGGATGGAGTCCCATGCACAACGCAAAGCCCAAGCTGGTTCTGCTGCATTAGCCCACGTCCGCCCCTGGTGCGGGCGTGTGAGGGCTGCTGCCTCTGAGCAGGGGTGGCTAGCCGGCCACAGAGACAGCCTCAGAGGCAGACGCGACAACTGAACCCTGAGCCGGAGAACGCGCCTATATGGCAGGGCCGTGGAATATGCCCCAACTGTGTTTCTGCGTCATATTCAGACGAAGAGTCTACTGATTTAATTTTAAAATTAAAAACAAACGATAATGATGGGCTTTTGCGTCTGTCAATTTTTACATACTGCAGTAAATAAGAATCTTTAATAGCAGCACTTAGACTCTCAAAAATAGGATTCTCTGAGAAATCTCCCATTCCTGAAATCAAGATTTTCAATAGAGCAGTATGTCTGTAAAATAAGATTAAGAAAACATGACTTGCTTAAATATTTTTGTCAGAGTGGGAAAAATGTTTTTGCCAGCATCTGTTTATTCTTGTGAATTTAAATTTTTAAGTTTTTCTATCACAGGATTTATAAATGGCTAATTTGCACACGTTCTCTTGCAGGGGGCGGGGGGGGGTAGTCTCAGCCCCCACTTTCTCCCAGCTTTTGTTTTTTTTCTATTGATTTTTCCCAATTGCAGGACATACTGAAAAAATGCAGGTACTTTCTTTTAAACAAAAGTCTTAACAAAATTGATTGATTCAATTAAGCAGGTAATAATATGCACACTAATTGTCTTAATTTTTGTCTACCCGTATCTAGGAACTGGTGATGAGAGCCATATGAAGAACAAAGAGTAAGTTCAATGGCAGAGGAGGGACAGATTTTGGCTGATGTGATGTGGTGGGAGCTGCACAGTGTAGATTATGAACTCTGGAACCAGATGACTGGGCACAAATCCCACTTCTGTCATTTTCTGGATGTAGGGGCTTGGGAAAGTCACTTAATTTCTCTGTGCCTTAGTTTCTTTATCTGTAAAATGGGGCATGCAGTAGCACCTGCCTCATAGGAGTAAGCGAACCAATGTTTCTGAAGGGCTGAGAACACTTCTTGTCTCATAAAGAGGGCAGTATATATGAAAGCTATTCACTGTTAAGAATTAGCATTTTGGAGGAAGTGGCTTTTGAACTGATCCTGGAAGACTGCATAGAAATTCTAACTTTAAAGATGCAGAATAAATAGAAGGGCAAGAGATAAAATGCACAGATGAAGAAAACTAATGCATTTCAGAGAACATCAAGTTATAGAGAGGCTGATGATGGGTGCAAGTACAGGTGAGATGGGTATGGTTACTGAGGGCGCCAGCGTGGGGAGCAGAAGATGGGCCTTACATGCTGAGAAGAAGGGCAGCCAACCATGTCCCACTGTCCTTTCACATTGCATCCCACAACACCGCAGTGCTGTCAACAAACTTCTCTCTTATACGGTATAAACGAGGTGAGTTTCAGAGCCATTAAGTGACTTGGCTAATTTCACACCAAAAACAGGGCTGTCAGAACTGGAAAAGCTTCTTTATCTAGGTCTAGGATCACCTAAGTCAATAGAAGTTGTTTTGCGGGAAGTTATACAATCCAAGCCCTGCTTTAGGATGAAAAACCTGGTGGTTGTGAAAATGAAGGATCTAATTGGAAACTTACTGGAGTGGGAGACGCTGGAGGAATCTGCAGTGTAGTAGAGACTGCGATGTGCTGCCCAGGTCCCCCTTCAAGAAGGAAGTACCCAAGTGTCCTTGCCCTCAGCTGTCGGGGCTGCGGCTGGCAGAAAGTCCTGAGGTGAGAACTGTCTTCGGGAAGCGCCTCAGCTAAGCGGACCTTCCTCACAGTCACACCCCTTCTTGGGGCAGATGTATGCGAAGATTCATCATGCAGGTACATAAACATCTAGCCCCTCTGCCCTAACTCAAGACAACTGTGATGTGCTTCCCAGACGCAGAGCTCCCGGGGCGGGTGGGCTGAGGACCACATTAGGACTGCATCACAGCCCACTTCTGCTTCCTTTCCCTCCCTCCCAAGACCAATCCTTAATAACCTTCGTGTCTGCTAATCTCTGCTCAATCTGTTTCCTGAGGAGCTGAACCGACAGCAGCAATAGTGTAGAAGAAATAGTACAAGTACTTGAAATAACCATTTTGATGGAAGAATATACGTAACTTTTTCACTTGTCTATTGGGAGAGGGAGGTGTCAAAATTAAGTCTGAGGCTTCAATCCTGAGTGAAATGATACTATTAATATATCCAAGGAAGCCCCTAGGCAGAGGAAGGGGGATGGGGCAAAGGGAGACGAAAACAAAGAGAAACTGTCCAGACGGAAGTTAGAAATGCAGGAGTGGAACTCAGGGGGACTAGAGAGCTAGAGATGGCACCTAGGAGTCAGCTCAACAGAGGCCATCCAAAAAGGCGTGATGGTAGATGCAATTCCGAGAGGCAGAATGTTGAGAGGGCAGAGGACTTTGGAAAATGCCCAAGGGATGGAAAATGCCAAAGGCAAGACGAATCTGGGAAGATTAGAGATGGAACATCATAGTCATGATAGGACAACTGAGACGGGAAATACCATGGAAACTAAGAGAGAAGAAAATCAAGGAGGGGGTTGGCCAGAGGTCAAGGAGAATATGCCCTGAGAGAAAGAGTTTTTGGAACTTGGCAAAGGTGTTTTGCAAGAGTATATATATATATGTGCCTGAAGGAGGGAGGTCAGCGTTCAGGGGCTACAAAGCAAATGGTTACTTAAAAGAGAGGAATGAGAGGTGAAAGCAGGAAGAGAGCATGGTAGCTTGAGGGAAAAGGAGGGCTGAGGAGACGCTCTGCACTTGTTTACAGGTCTAGGGAAA